TGGAGTGCTACTTGAAGATATTGTTGATCCTTCACTAGACAAAGAATGGTGACCTGCAGTTTCCTGAGATGTTGGTTCAAATGTACTTCCACTATCAATTTTGGAAGAAAGTGGTATGTCTGTAGTCGTGGAGGAATTTATCTGAATAGTCGCTGAAACAGATGTCACATAATCTGCACTTGAAGTAGGAAAATCAGTTATTTGTTTAGATGTAATATCTGATGATGTGTCTGTATATATATCGGATGCGGTTTCTTCTTTTAATGTTGTGGAAGACGTAGAATTAGTCATGCGAGATGATTCTGCAGTAAACATTGTTTTATGAAAGGAAGATTGAGATGAAATCTCAGTCTTTGGGTGAGATGAAGATGTCTTCTCAGAATATGTAGATGCCATTATATCAGTACTACTTGGAGATAGTGTTGAAGCTTCACTAGATAAGGAGTAGTGATCTGTAATGAAGTTAGATGACTTATTTATCCATGGGGTTGTGAAACTGAATGATTTGACCTTCATTTTTTGTAAAGGGCACTTTCAATTTAGTTGCATAACGTTTGTTTTGTCTTTTTACAAGCTTGTTATTAATCTCTCTTGTACTTGAATGTTTTACCGCTAGAGTGATATTTGATGAATTGCTTGTTTTTTCTTTTGTTGCAAAGAATTTTAGAGTTTCATTTTTCAGTTGTTTTTTATTGAATACCAGTGATATATACTTTTCTTTGTTTTTTTTTATAGGTTCCATAACATTGATTCTCGAATTTAATTTTTTGAGTAGTTTGATCGTAGTTTTTCTTTCTATGTGGTTCGATGGTTTTAAAAATCTATAGGATTTTTGTCTTTTATATTCTCTGAGATTACGACTTCTTTTATAATTTGCACTGTCTAGTGGTATTGAATTCAATTTTCTCTTGCTAGTTTTTAATATTTCTTCTTTATGTGCTTTGTCTTTAATTTCTTCTTTTTGACTCTTACGCAGTGTTCCCGATGCATTTAAGTGATCGATAACCTGAATTCTAGATACTGCCAGGACCGATCTTTGATTGTTCGAGACTGTCCCGTGCAGTAATACCTTGAAAAAGACAAAAAAAAAGACCCATTATGCACTAGGAGATTTAAGATAATATTGATAAAGAATGACATAATCACTTTCTAATATTTTATCATAAGTACATACTAATCTTTTTATAACATTTACAGTAAATGCTCGCCTTTTGCGAAAGGGTTATGAGGCCAAAGTGATCGCAATGGTCTAACAAATTAACTTAGTATTCCGAAAATTGTTTAATATCTAAGTCTAAGTTCAAGGGAAGTTCAGTTCAATCTACACTTTTGTCAACGTGTGTTATTAGGTTAACCCTCCCTTGAACGTAGACTTCGAAATAAAAAAAATATTCGGGATACTAAATTTATTTATTATATCTGCTATTGTGCGGCTATATAATGTTAAGAACTGAATAGTGGCCAATGGCACTTTTCCTTCACTTCGCTTATTCGGTGTACAGGTTTTTCTCATAGTGACTACAAAGCACTTTCACACCAACAGTTTGTTTGAATTGCAATGGTTCTCCACGTAATGAAATTTAACATCGCTTAAGCTCGTAAGTGAACTGTTTCAAAGGTTCATGGAACTGGTTTAATTTTTGTTGGTTAATTAGAAACTAGTTCTTGTTTATTTTTAGAGGTAATGCTTAGTTTGATGTGAGAGCTCTAATGGAAACCAAGGAGATCCCTACTAAAGGATCCCTAATATCCCTAATGTTTCATTTCAGAATAGTCAGACACTTGTTTTGAAGTATCTTCACAGTATTTCCAGATCTTTACATTGTGCACTAAGTTTCAAAATAATTACCATCATTATATTTATGATTATATTTCCCATAATATGACTATTTAGTGGTTTACTGTTTAAACTATAACCTAAGTTTATTAATACAACAATGTGTATCTATAAATCTGCTTTATTTAAATAGTAGAGTTATTTAAATGTTTATGTTTGACCAGCCTATGTCATAACTGACGTTTTCAACCATAGATCTAGCCAATGTCTACTTAATTTTAGTCATTTGCCTACCTAGTTTCATCTTAGCAAATAATATACATATAAATTAATGATTCGGGCGGTTGTAAGTTGTATATAGATATTGAAGCTTTCCCTTCAAACGAAACATAAATACGAAATGTAATATGCATACAACACTATATGCATACAAATACATACATTGTATTTCAAGCAATAAAATGAAAAATAATTAATTTACTCTTTTCTTCTTTTTTCTTTCATTAACAATGTAATTGATACTTCATTTTTCGAAAAACTTTATTTTAAGTCCTTCAATGCAACAATATTTATTATACTAAATATAGATTCTTGGCATTGTAAAAAACAGTTCTGATAATCATGTTTTTACTATTATAGTTTACCTCAAACGTTTTATTCTCTGTGTTTTGTTGAGTCACTTTAGTAAATAAGTCAATTTCAATTAGGATCCATTCCATTCCAAGCCTTATATCGGGAGTAAGGTCCGATTTTGTTGACCACAGGATTGTTTTTTGAGGACTAAGTAGTGCCACCTCAAACTCCACGTCGAATGACAACCAAACCCATAGTATCAGTGTGCCCATCGCAGTGTTCAAATTAAATGTTCCGCTTGCAAGATATCCCGTTTGATGTTTCTGTCCTCCAAGGAGCGCAATAATATGTTGACCTGTAAAACATAATGGTATAAGTATAAAAGCATTAAATGACAGGAAAGTCAAGAAATACATTATCTCTGTTTAAAACAGTGTTCAAACAACGACATCGTTGTCCCTCAGCGTATAAAATTAAACCCTGAATTTTAAAGAATAAAAAGATTGGCATCATGCAAATGACCATGCATACTCACTTGTAACTCGAGTTTCGTATTTCGAGTATTGCTAAAACACTTTTTTTATTTGCGAAAGAACTTTTGAAATAAATTCCAGTTAGTGTTTCAAAAAGGTTAATAATCATTCTTTTAATTTGTCTGTTTATAATTCGGAGCCCCCTAGTGGCACAGCGGCAGGTCAGCGGACTTACAACGCTAGAAACCGGGTTTCGATAGCCGTGGTGGGCAGAGCACAGATAGCCCATTGTGTAGCTTTGTGCATAACTACAAACAAACAAATATAATTCGGAAGAAAAATGATATCCAAAGAGATCTAAATGTTTCTTGTTTAGAAAAACAATTACTTTATTCAGCTTTATCTCTTAACCCATTTCCAAACCACTAACAATCAGAAGTTTCTTTTGAAATAAGGTATAATAATCGATTAATACATTTTAACAGTTGCATCTTAATACACGAGTCAATATGTCTTTTTTTACCATCTGTGATTTAATTCCTTTATAAATGTGGATAAAATCATTATAACTTTTATGTGTACTGTAAAACAGCTTACATCTGTTTGTTTGCAACGAAAAGTTCCGAAATTCCTGACCTTTAACCACCGGTAAATTTTCAATGGCGTTTGATAATACCCCCAGAGGTATCCTAAACCCTACTTTATTAATTTTACCATGTTTACGAATTGGACAGCCTTTTCAAGTTTCCCCTTGCTACTTACTGGCAACAAATGACGCACACGCTCGACATCCCTGTGAGGCCTGGTTGCTTATTATAAAATAAGCAGCTTAAAATAATTTTGATTTTTTTTAATCTATGAACAAATTTAAAGCGTGCTCAGTTATTACCATCTTATTCACATTTATGCTAGCTTTACATTACAGTGACAAAACACACTGTCGTTTTTTTGTATAATGCAATATCTGTAGAGCTAATTTATCAAACATATTTACCCCGTTATACATTCCACTGAGTTATGACTTGTTATCTTCCAATTATAAGATATACTTTTATGGACCATCAAAACCATATGCTAGATTTGTCTCCGTTCCTAGTAACCAATTTGAACTCAAGCCTTTGTTTTTTTCGTCAACCACGTATTATTATGGCTTGGATAGATTGTCTTCGAGAGTGGATAAATATAATGTATAGCAAGTGTGTATTTAAATGTTATAATCATTAAATATTTCTAATTCATAATTACTAAATGCATGTCCTCTCTAACGTATAGATATATCTATTTTATTACCAGTAGAGGAAGTTTGTTTGTAATTAAGCACAAAGCTACACAATGGGCTATCTGTGCTCTGCCCACCACGGGTATCGAAACCCGGATTCTAGCGTTGTAAGTCCGCAGACATACCGCTGTGCTACTGGGGGGCCAGTAGAGGAAAGATAGTTTATAAATATGTTGAGCAAGTGATTTGGAAATTTATTCAGTATGATTGCCAATAGTAAAAACACATTGGGAAAATGTATTACACAACTCTTAGAGACCATGACTCATATGTTTGATTACTTGGTTTCACAGCAAGCGTTTGAGGCTACCCTTTTCCACGATAAATGAAGATTAGATAATATATTATATTGATAATAAGTTTACATCAAAAATGAAAAGATTCCCCAATTATATAGGAAACTGATAAGGAAAGTCTAAGTGTTGTAAAATGCTTCTCAGGAAAGAGTCATATCCTGATATCTAGGACTGCATGAGTTAATACAACCGGTAAATTAATCTTGTCTAAAAGTTGTTGCCATTTTATGTGAAAAAAAACCAAAAAACTCTCAAAGAGAAGGCTTAAAATTGAGTGTTAGAATCGTTAGTAATTTAACGTTAAATAAAAAACAGCATCCAATAACCTTTATTTAAAAAAGGTAGGAAATATTCTTAAGGAAATAAAGAAATAAAAACTAAATAAATTAAACACTCTTAGTAGACCTATTTTTAGAAGTAACAATAAAGAAACTTGGAGTATATTTAAAAAAAAAATTGATGTACTTTCTAACATATAAAAATTCAGAATAAGAGACCACTCCCTGGAAACTACGATTTATTGAGAATAAAAGCTTTTCGCATGTTGTGGACATTGGTTTGTCTAGCAGCTTGCATGTTATATTAATTGATGAATGAAAACATAACCTTTAATAACTAACATTTAACATTGAAATGGATGATTTTATAACATATAAATTACATTTTCATGTTTAAGTTAACATACAATAAGCAAATGTAAGTATCAAATGAATAATTAAAACTAGTGATAAACTATAAGCATGTAAATTTAGGTTTAGTTTTACCTTTCTTCCAAAGTCACTTTGACTTATACGTGTAATTTCCAACAATGTTTCGCTCAGTAATATCTATGACATATTATATGAATTAGAAACAACTCATGTGCTTTATTTAGTAGGACGAAAGGCTTTCTCTGGTTTATATTTATTGAACCTAGTAGTAAGGAACATAAAAACATAGAGCATGGAAATATCGAAAAAAATGAAATTTTCAGTAGTTGAATTACGTACTGAACTCCATTCAGATAATTAGAGCTAATGATTTAAATATTTATGCCAATTTAACGTAAATCAAATGTGTCTAAACTGAACATTAACTAATAAAATCGAACAACTTGGTAAATTTTCAACAATTTTTAAACTATAGACGATTTATAATACAACGAAAGTACTTTCCCTTTATCAGTCATTTAGATTTAGAAAGTTTTTAAAGAATAAGGTGGACATATTAACTGTCAATTGAAATTTCAGAATAAAAAATTAAATTGTCTCTGCTAATTGAATGGCTACACAAAACGCCATCTGCGCCTAGCCATCTCTAATTTTGAACTGAGAAACTAGATGGAAGCTAGCTCACCTAACGCCAGCTCTTGGGTTACTCGTGTTTCAACGAAAAATGTGTTTGACCTTTTTAATGCACCCACGGAAACGGTACACCAACCATGAACCCGTAGAACTACAATCCAGCAAAAATAACCACTGTACCAGGCTCTGTCTCGTTAACTTGTACTTTAAACATAGGAAATCATAGTATTGTTTACTTAAATATAAAAACGAACTAAACACCAACTTACTCTGTATGCATGTTTTGTGAAGTTAAAATAAAAAGAGAAACATTAAGCCGTAGTTATACGTTTATGTAATATTCAGGTAAAAAGTCCAAAGTATAGGATAATCTAATCATTTTCATAACACTATCCACTGTAAGTATATGAATATAGGTTAAATTAACGATTAATACGACTGTAAACTTATTAAGGATTTATTATGGTTCATTGTTCAGTATCGATAAAGCTAAATTATAATTAAATAGACTAGAAGATTCTAAGAATATGAAAACCTTTGTATAATAATGAGGAACTGGTTAATAAATGTTTAGTGAATATAACAACATAGACACGAATTATATTGGAAGTGAAACAACAAAGGCTGAGTTCGTTATATTACAACGATTTAGGAGCATCACAACGTCGTTACGGTCCATGTCGCCACGTCCTGTTGTGCAATATCTGGTGGTTATGTAACTTGAAAATAGCCCTGCAACGTAGTTTCCATTAAAAAGGCTTTGTCGTAAAACTGTCATGGTCAAAACACACAATTGCTCCCTGCGTGCTTTTCATAATCTAGTGTACGAGAACACTGTTTTCCAGTGCCCATTTCAACAATTCGATCACAACCAAATCCGTAAGCGCTGCATCTAGCGACTTGACAGGTATTTCTTCGTATAAGATAGCACGAATACCCATTTCACTCTCCAGCTTCTTGGGGTATATTTTGGTGGAATGGATATGTCGTGGAAGCATCTTGTGTTCGCTTCTAGACGAAGATCCTTCTTGATCATGTTGCATACTATTACCTGGGGCACATGGACGGCATTGGCCACTGACCTTTGTGTTCGTGGATTCTCACCTGTTGCCAGATACTGCACTTTGCTTACAATGACTGGTTACAGATCTCTTTCCTTTGAAATGGGTTTATTATAGAAAGCATTCAAGGTCGCATCTATAAAAGGAACATGATTTATAAATGTAACATTTCTATATTATTACCTTTTGGTGGTGGAACGTTGGTAATAACAGAATAATCCACAAATTCCCAGTTGCTATAATTTCTCCAATTACACAAATTTTGATCAAAGTCACAAGAGATACGAGAAACGTCTGTGTGAATTTGGCCTGAAATGTGAAAAGGCATAATATTACAGAATATCAAGTTAAGCAAGAAAACGACAACTAAAAGTGTAGACTTTTCAATACAAGCACATATGTACGTTTATGTCCACATAAATAGATTGACTACTGTATGTTATTATTAACGTATTTTATTCGTACTATTTCAGTTTGTAAAAGTTTGTAAATATAAAGACTTTTATATATGTAATGTAAGTTAAGTGTGTATATATATATTGTGCACATTTTGTGTGTCAGATTGGTAAAGTGTATGCTGTATTGTAGTCTGTCAGAATAGGCCACCACAACAACGAAGTGCACCTGGTCTAAGTAGCTATGCGCCCACAGCTGAAAGTATGAAGTGTGTTAAGCATGAAATTGCATCTTAAGCCTTTTGAAGTGATATTAAAAACAAGTAAAAGTACCCGTCCCCAGTGACTGGAAAAATTATGTTAAAGTATGTGTATTTGTCTACCAGATGTTTTGGACCACTGAATAGAGAAGTAAGTTTCTTGTCAAGAACTGTTGTGAAACTGCTCCCGACTAAGAAAACATAGCATTAATCTATCAATTTAAATTATTTCATTGACTTTAAAATGTTAATTGTGTTGTGCTCTTGATTTCACTCAGAACCAAAGCTCTAAACTACTTAATTGTTAAGCATTTCAGTCATGTTAAGAACTGCTCAGTAATAACATACTCTAAATCTACATTTTTATTATTTAAGTTACGTCATGTTTTGAAATATGAATGGTAGTGTGATTAATTTCTAACATTTTAGTGTAGAATATCCTGCTTGCGAAATAAAATTTGGCATCAACATTATTCATGCCTGTTCTCCCGTAATTTCAAAAGTGAATGTTGAGCTTTGCCTGCGTGCGCAGCTTTTTAAACTCAACGCGGGAAGCGGCCGCTGTAAACGAGAGACAGACGAACGCTCGGAGAGACACCACAGTTCGCAGTATATATAAGATACTGCTTATTTTTTCATTTGTGACAAATGCCCGTATGTTTTATTATCTCCACATTCTGACAATTTGTCTCTGTTTCAATATCACAGATTTGACCTTTAATTCGTTATTTTTGATAAAGAAATATTATATAGCGGTATTTCTTAAATCATAAATTTTCTTCCAAGCCTCTTGTCTTAGAATTATACCTCGTTCTTGTAACACTGAAGTTGTTCTTTATCACATATCATCATGGGTGTTATTTGCTTACACTCCATCACAACGACGTTTATTAACGCATATGTATCATTTTATACACAGAATATATATATATATTTATGTGTGTGTGTGTGTGTGTGTGTATGATATACACCTTGTATACACTCAACAAATAGCTTGATATAATCTCAGAATAGAATATGAGCTTTAGTTTCCAGGTTATATAAAGAGAGTTAGAAGGCTTAGCTTGGTTGTTGCCCCCCAGTGGCACAACGGTATATCTACGGACTTATAACGCTAGAATCCGGGTTTCGATACCCGTGGTGGGCAGAGCCCAGATAGTCCATTATGTAGCTTTGTGCTTAACTACAAACAAACAAGTTTGGCTGTTCGTCAGAAACATTTTACTTGTTAGAAAACTTAGCTTGGCTGTTCGTCAAAAATGTTTTACTTGTTAGAAGGCTTAGCTTGGTTGTTGGTCAGAAATGTTTTACTTATTAGAAGGCTTAGCTTGGCTGTTGGTCAGAAATGTTTTACTTGTTAGAAGGCTTAGCTTGGCTGTTGGTCAGAAATGTTTTACTTGTTAGAAGGCTTAACTTGGCTGTTCGTCAGAAATAATTTGCTTATTGATTTTATTGTTGCATTTATCATGGATAATTGTAAGAAAAACGTTCGGTGGACATTCTGAATCTTTGCTGCAATACCGTTTGAGATTCAAGGTGGTTTAATTATTAGTTTGATTGTTACTGTTAACAAAACTGCCTTTAACCATACGTGCATATGAACTAATTTAATTGATAAACTATTAATTGTTTAACTTATTACGATAACAACCAACCCAGCGGCAGTGACGTAACTACAAAAAGTGGGCTTCCCCCACCGCATAAAAAGTAATCGGATCCCATACATTTATTTCCTTATAATTGTAGTTAAGATTCTGGCTGATTCGAGCCCCTTTTAGGCTTGCCCACCCTTAATTGTGGGGGCATACTTACGTCAATGACAGAGGAATGCGTTTAATATGTCTTGAAACCGTACTTACTGGATCAGTGATGTATTTTAAATTGTGAAATGTCTTAAATAAAACGTTCAGTTAGAAGAAACTGTACATTTGTTTCTTAAATACAGGAATTACTTCTAGAAAAAAATGTGGCGACATTACTATCCCTCTGCTCTTATAGTTTTCTAGGCAGAACGAATACATTTTGAAAATGAGTGAATGAAATCAAATGACTTTACTCACGGAATATATTTGGAAAGGTATGACTGTTATTTTAGTAGAGTTCATGACTTTTTAAACACAATATATTAGCTGCATTTTAGTCCAAAAGAGAAAGAGTGAATTGGCTATACGTTAATCAAACCATTTATTAGAAACTTCCCGAACAGGAGAAATACGCCGACAAAAAAGAAGGATAAAAACGGTACAACTTGTTAAGTATTGTCAAAAGTCACTTCACCGGTTACAAAGACATGCAAAGTTCGAGAATAAAAATTTAAACATCGACGCATTACTTAAATGTAATGCCAAGATAGGTAAAGCGGCAGTATTTTAATTGCCTTAACTTTGACAGTCTCCTATTTACAGAAATATTGATTTATCTTGAGTAAGGTTATATGTTACCTTCGTAACTTAAGTACAGTCCTAACATTGTATCATAGAGAACAAGAATATTGCAAGATAATGGTTACAACGAGGGCTGTTTGCGACATAGTGATTAGCGTACCGAGATGCGGATCGAAAGATCCAAGGCTTAATCTGGGATATGCTCCTGCGCACATTCGCAATTTCAGCTTTTGTGGCATTATTGCTGATAGAGCCAATCCAGATATTTTGTTAGAAGTAATCATTTAGGCATTAGGCGCTGCTCTGACTGGATTTCTTCCCTTTGGTCAACAGTGCTAAATTAGGGATAGTTAAACCTGAACCTTTTAGTCTTTGACGTGGCCAATTAAGCAATTGTGGGGCCTGCGGAAGGATACTTACGTCAATGCCGCCCAGCGTACTTAGTGGATCAGTGATGTATTTTAAATTGTGAAAGGTTTTAAATAAAACACTTAGTTAGAAGAAACTGTACATTTGTTTCTTAAATACAGGAATTACTTCTAGAAAAAAAAAATGTGGTGACATTACTAGCCCTCTAATCTCAAAGTTATCTAGGTAGAACGAATACATTTTGAAAATCTTACAGGCCTTATTTTAGGTTTAGATAAGATATTTCAGAAATTGAGTATTTTACTTCTTAGCACATTATAACGAAATTTATATACAAACAAAATACACCCTGTATCCTTTTTGTCGGATTGTCATAAGGTAAGGGATTACAAAGGAAACTCCAATGTAACGCAATCGTGTTTACGTATGCTTAAAGAGATGCATTAATCATCACCTTCCACAACAGTCACCTAATTATATATAAGGCCAATTTCACATGTTGTGATATAATTACCAAGAATTTGAAATCATTAATTCTGATAACGTATACTTAACGTCAACAGAAACCTGTCTGGAAAATTCTCTCTAAAATTTAATATCAAAATATAACAGCCAAAATGTAATTACTTGCTGTGATTTAAGTATTCTAGTCTTTAAAAAATAATAACTTACTTTTAGAAAGACACAAACTTGTAAATCTAGTGATCACGAATTCTAAACAAAAATGACAAAAAAAAACATTTTGTTATTATTGATTTTGTACTGTAAGCTAGGTTTGCATTCTTTTTGTTGCTATAGGAAACTTAGACTTATGGATGTCTTCTCTCAACAAAACAGAAAAAAAAACTTGCTCTATAACCCATTGAATTGCAACACGTCCAGATTTAATGTGGCTTTTTAGTAATCTTATAGGACAGTGATAACCTCGCAATATATACATATCTATAAAATTTTAACGTATTTGTTTACTTTACAATGAATTCACTAAGTTAATCTAAAATACGTTAAAAATACATTTTAGTTAGAATACAACAAATCAATATGAATTATGTTAAAAGACTTAAATAAGCAGTTGTAACATCTTTAATGTCACATTTGTCTTACCATGTTCTTCCTGAATAAAGCCATTCAATGAAACAAAGGTTATTACGAGAGCTACAGTGACTATAGTCGAAAAAGCCATTTTGTTTCTTTTCCAATTTTAGTTACGTTATTTAAAGCTATATTATTTGTAAATAAAGATAACTCTGTACGTATGATTATCTGTAAAAACTTCTCTCCAGACACAATCAAGTAATTTCCTTCTCTGTAACACTGCATGTGAAGGGTATTAAAGCAAGGCTCGATATGATACACAAATTATTTTTGTTTCGTCAGATTTAAAATTTCTACACCCAATAAATTGTTCATTAATCAGATTTAGAAGGCGCCGCTTTATCAGCAACCTTGAGTTGAGCACCCAATAGGGCGAAACCAGTGTAGGAAGGTATATTAAACTGACTGAGGTTATCATATTTTTATCATCTGAGGTTTAGATAAGGCATTTCAGGAATTGAGTATTTTACTTCTTATTTAAACTTGATATTTGTTATTGAAATTCAAAAAATAAAGTGTAAAGCAGCGACTTTTTAATAAACTATAAAAATAGGAGAAAAAAAAGAAAATTACATGTTAAAAATCTTCTAAACTCCTATATCTTTAGGAGTTGGCTTCTGCGAATGTTTTCAAAAATTTCATTTATACCATAAATCGTATAGCAACTTGAACAATTCAACATTTTAAGTAAGTTTGTTTGTTTGTGGTTAAGCACAAAACTACACAATGAGATAAAAAATCATAAATAATATTCAACGTTAAACTGGTACACAATTAAAAACATTTTATGTAGGCCTATCTATGGCCTTCACAAAGTTTACGACTCTACATGTTTCGACGTTACAACGTCATCCTCAGGATACTTTATACACAAGTGCCAAAATACTATAATTACACAATGGGATATTTGTGTTGAGCCCACCACAGGTATCAAAACCTCGTTTTTAGCTTTAGACATTCGCACTGGGGGAAAAAAGATAGTGTACTTGTTTGAGTTTGTTGTTTTTAGAGAAAAGCCACATTGGACCATCAGCTGTGTCCACTGCAAGAAATCGAACTCGGATTTTAGAGTTGGAAGTCTGTTGACTTACCGCTGTTCCACAAGGGTACGACGTCATTAAAACTGAGATTTGCGATTTTTCAGATGTGGTAGTTTAGTTACTTTAACCTCTGTACAGTTTTAAGTAAGAATGCGGTGTAATGATACAAGCAGGGCGTAGCAAAATTATGCATCCAAAAAAACGTAACCAAAGCCTATTAATGGAAAGGCACCGAAATTCTGCGTAGTTGTGGCGAATTGAATCAAGATTCTCGTCTCAAGATGACAATTCTAAACCATTAAGTCTTAACTGGAACATTTTGCAAGCGTGTATCTAAAGCTAAAACAAAGTTTAGAAGACCAGTACATTGCCTTGGAAGAGGTATTGGTAGAGGGAGGTAACACCACTGATGCATCTGAGACTGACCACAGAGTAGTACACGAGGACGTTATTTCGGGCAAAAATTTTCAGAGGTACAAATGGTGTTTAACGTGTACTCTTTAATTGTTAGAGAAATACTCGCTACAATCAAAAGCAAATAACTTATATATATATATATAGTGTATCGCTTTCTTCTGGCACTTTCCATCACTCAAGTTCACTGTGAGAGATGTTTCTCAGAGCTAATGACAATAAAAACATGACTACTGAGGGGGCTGTTGCCATACGAGCATCTCGAAGCTCCCATGCTTATAGGTACTAAAACAAGCATACCAGCTGAGATACCAAACAGTCAGATCATAGATATGTTATTAAAATCATCTGATGCACTCAAACAGCTTTTGGTGTGTTAAATTCAAATTTTCAGTTACTGTTAATGCACACACACATTGGACACTTTCAAGTATTATTTAATGTATGTGTTATGCACATACAAATCGGGAACATACTAATATATAAATTATATACACGTATTTTCTTTTTTATGCACATCATATCTCTGTGTGGAATTATACTTTTACACGTGAGTTTCGTATACCACTGAACATGTCTATATCATAAGTGTTTACTATTTTGAATTAAGAGTTAGGGGTTGTCTTAAAAATAAACGTAAAAATATTATGGCAAAAGTTTCATTTATTGTCTGCAAGTTATGGGTTTTTCACTCGTAGTGTGATAATATGTACGTAAAATATGCAGTGCAATTTCACATACTTCTCACAAATTATTAGGTCACCAATGGAGTGCCCTTAATAAGCCTTTGCCAGCGCCCCGAAAGGGTACCCAGTACGGCATTGCTTATTGTCTAAAGTTTGAAAGTGTTATACATATTGTACTCTACAGTACTCGTGGCTATAAGCATATTAAGGTGTAATTTTGTGTGTGCTAACTCGATAATGTTAAATATGACTATGCCACATTTGGAGCCTTTGTTTCCATCCATTTTGTTTTATGACTATTTATTTTTGTAACAAGTTATGTTGACTCATCCTTGCACTAAAATATATATAAAATAACAAGTTTGACATTTGAACAAATTGTTCAAGACAATTTCGATACCCATTGTCGTATATTTGGTGATATCTTGTTCCGTCCTTCTTCCTACAAATAAACTACGTTAATACGTTTTTTTCATATATTTTCTTATTTCATATCCTTATTCAGTACCTCTGTAAGCAGGGCGTTTGGCTTCTTAAAATGCTTCATGTCGTTCTTAAATCATATTACCAGATTTCTAGGCCCGGCATGGCCAGGTGGTTAGGACACTCCACTCGCAATCTGCGGGTCGCGGGTACGAATCCCCGTCACACCGAAACAGGCTCACCCGGTCTCCGAACAAGGACACCAGTCCTACTCCCGGATACTCACCTTCAACAGAATTTGGAGGTGTGAGAAATACCATACGAAACAAAAAAAAAAAAAAACAGATTTCTAAACCACATTATCCCTATCAGGACACACTTACAGCGGTACTGATCTATTGGAAGATCAAAGAAAAAAACATTTATTGTTAAATAGTTTAAAGTTATAACATCACTTGTCTGTCTATCTACTTATCTATCTATCTGTTCATGCACCCGCCTGTCTGTTTATTTATCTATCTATTTGATTTGTTCATGCATCCACCTGTCTGTCCATCTACTTATCTATCTGTTCATCCATCCGCTTGTTTGTCCATCTACTTATCTGTCTATTTATTTATCTTTCCATGAAGTACATTTATGTAGATCGTCGAATATATCTTTTTCTGGTTTGTTAAAGTTTTGAAAGCAACAAATGATAGTTGCTATGGAAACAACTTTAGTACTTTAATAATGAGGTTTCTAAGTAACTTTCAATAATGTATTTATAAAGTTAACTATGTTTATTTGTTTCACAGGCCTCCACTTTAGAAATTTTTATTACTATAAAAGATAACTTTTAAAAGCCGAATGTGTTAAAAACATATACAGTTAACGTGACTTTCTAATTCTTCGCCAGTCTTAGGCACTTAAATCGCAATTTTTAAATGTTTATACTGCATATATAAATGACGTTCCAGAAAAAAAGAAAAAACACTCCTGCAGTTAACGTGATTTTTATCTCAAAGTTTAGGAACTTTATTACTTTACTATAATCCTGGCATGGCCTGGTGATTAGGGCGATCAACTCGCAATCTGAGAGTCGCGGGTTCGAATCGCTCTCACGCCGAACATGCTCCTCCTCTCAGTCGTAGGGGCGTTATAATGCCCGAGTCAGTTCAATGATAATGGTGGGTCCATAAATAACTACAGAGACTTGAGTACGTTAGATTGAAACGATTTTGAAGTTTCATCACGTCGGCTCCATGTAAGGCTGTCATGTCCAGAGCACACAAATCCTTCCTGTGTGCTTTCTATAACCCATCTAGTATAGGAGGATAACAGTTTCCCAGCCCCTGTTCCAACAGCTCAATCGTACAGAAATCCTCTGGCTATATCGGTATATCTTTGTATGGAATATCATAAATATCCGTTTAATTTTCCAGTTGTTTCTAGTATGTGAACTTTGAATGGCAGGTATGCCTGGAAGCCTTATTTTGGAGAACCATACCCTGTTGGTCCTGTTTCCATACAAAGCTTATACTACTCTGTAGTGCAGAGGGTCAAGAACATTGGTCTAATACAAAGCAGATGTCATGTTGACATTGGTTTCTACTCTTCTGATCCCTAGCTTATTCCTGACGTAGTATTCTATCTGTATATATACATATATATAAAACTTTTTCGAAATGTCAAGTTCCACTTTTGGAATTTTTATTCTCCCATTAACTAGTAGAAAATGGCACGAAACTTGTTACCTTTATGAAGGTACGCATATGTTTCGTCGAGCGTTATCACGTACTGCTATTTTATCCTGGCTATGTTCCATTTGTACAGTTGGCGTTCTTCACCTGCATATTTCGTGGAAGCAACATGTTTAGATGTGACCTGTGTCACTTTTACTGACAAAGATTCTTTTTGATTGCGTTGCCTATGGTTGTCTAGGACGCGTGAACGGCTTTTTCCATTGAGGTTTGTATTAGTAGATTTTCAGTTGCTTAAAGACGCCGCAACTTGTTTACCACGCTGGGATACAACTTGTTGCAGATCTCTTTCTGGGTGGTTCTAGTGCAACAAACTGATCTGTATTCCTTTATTTTCCAATACCATTAAGTACAAGGGATATTCACGTCTTGGAAATTTTAAATCCACCATATGAACACATCTTTATGATCTGAGTGTGTGACTATTTCATATTACAAAAGGCTGTTACATGTCCTTCCCCAAAGTGATCAAGCTGAAGGATAAAATGGGTATTCATTCTTTTCCATATGAAGGCATACCAGTCAAATCGCCAGATCCAGCACCTGTGGATTTCTTTGCAGTCAGAATGTTGAAATGGGCGCTGGGAAGCTGTTGTCACCATAAACTAGATGTATTAAAGAAATCATTCAGGAAGCAGCGGTATACTTTTAACATGACACCCTTACGACAGAGCTTTTTTTTTTTGTTGGAAACTACGCCTCAGGGTTATTATCAAGATGCATGGACATCAGATATAGCATAAATGAACATGGCAACATAGGCTGTAATGATCTAAAAACAACATAATCACCCTCTTGTTATAAACCCAGCTGATGAGTTATTGGGTAAACAAAGGATTGAGATGAAATGTTATTAACACAAATCTTTGATGCGAAATACGTAAAGTACTAATTAAGAAGAATGTGATAAAGGTAAACAATCATCATCCATAATCTAATTAACTCAGTCTCTGTAATAAACTTCGCTAAGCCAGATGTGGAGTTCATCAATCACCAAAAGAACTGTTGAACTACAATAATACACTATTTGTTTGAGTGAATATATATTTATTTACATCCGTAAAAGCGTTTAAGTTTTAAAATTTGATTTATAGTTATTATAATTTTATTCAAGAGTATATGGTTTTGACATTTACAGTTCACATTCATTTAGAATTTCGCCCCCCAGTGGCACAGCGGTATGTCTGCGGACTTACAACGCTAGAATCC